CCGGGAGGAGCTCGGAGTAGAAACCACTGCTCCTCCATGTCAAGAGGAGCCAGTTGAGGTGGTTCGGGCACCTGGTGAGGATGCCTCCTGGACGCCTCCCCGGGGAGGTGTTTCGGGCATGTCCCACCGGGAGAAGGCCGCGGGGCCGACCAAGGACACACTGGAGGGATTATATTTCTCGACTGGCCTTGGAACGCCTCGGGATTCTCCCGCGAGAGAACTGGTGGAAGTGGCTGGGGAGAAGCTGTCTGGACCTCTTTGCTGAGGCTGCTGCCCCAACGACCCGGATCCGGATGAGCGGGAGACGACGACGATGACGACATTGCCCACTGTGCAATGGAATGTCTGAGTGTGGGGTTAGTTTCCAAATTCACTACTATTGCTCGCTCTGAGACAGTAATTCATCGTCATGTCTTTCATCTGCACAATTCTGTTCCACAGAAAACCTCTCTCTGTATGTTCTTGGAGTTGATAAAGCAGTGAAGGACATGAAGAGGAATGTTTGCCAGTAAAAACTCCAATGCAGCTTTTTGGTCACGTGCACTTTATTCTTCTAATTTTTTGCCGTTTTCCAGCGGGCTGAGTATTTTTTTCTAGACATGGCAACTTTCCAAAATCCTGAACACACCCCAGAAAAAAAAAAAAAATTAATAATAATAAAAAATAAAATAGAATGATCAAGATCAGAGGACAGGATAGGAGAGAATGAAGAAAATGTTATCCAAAAGGACATACCGAGCCCGATGTGAAATCCATGCTTTTTACACTGTAAGGAGAGAAGAACACAAACAATGCCAATATGAGTAACATTCATGTTAAATGAAATATCAGTAAATCATAATCATAATAATCATAATAATAATGGGCAAAACTACACGACACTGAAAAAGCGCATTTTATAGTGGTCACAAGAAGAAGATGGAGTATATGATCTACTTTGTCAAGTAGATTTTTACTTTGTCAAGTAGATTTTAATCCCTGGGGAACACTGATTTCTCTGCCATGTATACGCATAACCAGTTTACAGTTTACACAGTAAACAGTAACAGTTTACATTCAGACACATTCACGCTGTAAGGAAGAACTCCGCTCTGTCTGTCTCTCACTGCAAAACGGAATGCGGCGCAATAATCATTTTATCTCGATAATCTTACTTTCATAATCCTTGGAAGCCAAAATCGTAATAAATTCGATTAATGGCCCAGCCCTACAATCTCTGAAAATTACCGTTTTTAATAGCTTTTCTCCGATTTGAAAAAATTTTTTTGTAAGACCCGTAAAACCCCTGAATGGTGAGCCAACACTCTCTAACGTAAGTAACTTACCAGTACAATAATCAGCATGCGCAGACCTAGAGCTGAGCGCGACATTGAAAAGTTAGAGCGGGAATTATTACCTTTTTATTTATATATTTATTTTTTGGTAACGTTTTTGAATAATGTCAACTATAGCAAGTAATATATGTATTTTAACATGTAACATCGTATCATATTTATCATAGCGAACAAAATGCAGTATAATTTCCAACAATTAGGCCTACTTTTGCCTTCATTTTGTATACACAAGTGACAAGCTACTAAGTAAAACACATCACCCTGAACTAATCCTTTTCGCCCGCTCTCTCCCCGTCTCTCTGTCAGCCTCAAACTTGGACAGGACCCAAATGCACGACTCAAAAAGTTCAACAAAATGATATTTATTAACAAAGTACAAAAGAAAATCACTCTTATGAGGAAACAACAAAGTAACAAACAATAACGTGACTAAGCACAAAGTATCAAAGTAACAAACTAGAGGAGACAAAAGAAAATCACTCTGAGAGGAACAAATGGCAAACGCCAGAGAACCAAAAGACTCTTATGAGGAAAAACTAAACAAAGTAACAAGGAACAAGACCTGAATCAACAATGACATGGAGCGTGGGGCCGGGAGGTTCATGGATACAGAACAGGACGAACTGGCACAGAACAAAAGGAAACGCAGACAGATATACACAAGGTAATGGGGAACAGGTGGAAACAATCAGGGCGGGGAAGACAATCAGACCAACGGGAGACACCAGGAGGAAGGGCAAGTTACCTGAAACGAAAGGAGAGTCAAATGTCAAAATAAAACAGGAAGTGATGAGACAACATAGACACAAGACAGAAAACTAAACACAACCAGACACAGATCATGACACTCTCTGCACTTACTAAAAATTAATACCCCTCAGTCGCTATCACCGCTGTATAAGAGAACCGCTAAGATAAGCATTTCCCAGGCTAATTTACAGTTCACATCAGTGAACTGATAATGCTAATAACACGAAGAGCTGAAGGACAAGCTACTTTAGCTAACATTAGTTATAACGAAACAAGAACGACGGGCCTAGTAATAACTAATGAAAATAATAACTGCTAATAAATATGCGTCATTTCTGAATATTTACTTATATACATTTAAAATGTGGTGAGTTATATCATTATCTTACCGTTACGTAGCACTGTTAGTGTTGTAGCCCGGTAGTGGTCCGCCAGTTTTTTTTTCTTGAGACCGCGAAGTCATGACCCGCCCTACTATGCCTCTGATTGGTCCATGAAAGAAACGAAAAAACATTTGATTGTGTCCTTTTGATTGACATATCGGCGGAACCAATGACAACTTGAAACTGTGCTCAACATCCTCAAAACATCTTTAGAATGTTGCAGGGAAAACATTCTACTTTTGTTAACATATCACATTGTAGGAACATTTTATGAAAAATGTTCATCTCGGGCCTCAATAACATCCTAAAACATTTTCGGAATGTAACCTTGAAAATGTTCTTTCTTTGTTATCATGTAACATTGTGGGAATGTTTTATAAAAGAACATTCTATAATCTGTTACCTCAACAACATCCTCAGAATATTGCAGTTAAAATGTTATGTGTTAGTTAACATTTAACCTTATAGAAACATTATATGAAATGATAAACATCCTTAAAACGTTCTTTGAACATTACATTAAAACATTTTCTTTAAAACATTATTAGAACTTGTAGGTAACGTTAGCCAATGTTGTGGGAACGTTTCCCTACTACATTAACATTATATCCCCCCCCCCGCCATTAACATAACCTTGATGACCTCTACACAATAGGGGGTCATCGATTAAAAATCTTAAAACTTGGTGGTGTATATAACTCTCTCACGGCTGAGCCCCAACTGGCGAACCAGCCCCTCATCGATGATACTGGTGTCAGCTCTGGAGTCGATAAAGGTGGCAAAGGTCTGGGGCCCGTCAGGGAGGAGAAGCTTGACCTGGAATAGGGGTCAATGGTTGAGGGAATTTTGCGCGGAAGTCCGGCTCACCAGAAATTCCCTCTTTACTGGTGAGCCATGCCTTTTGCAGCGGGAGACAAAATGGCCGGCCTGGCCACAGTACATGCACAGGTTACCATTCCGATGAGGCTCCCGCTCCTCTGAAGTGAGACTGGCGCGGCCCAGTTGCATGGGCTCAGGACCTCCAGATAGCGGCCCTGCTGAAGCGCTGGAGTTGGTGGAGGAGAAGGAGACCCGAGGAGTAGCAGATGGGTGACGAGTTGGACCACTCAGCTTCTTTTCTCGTTTCCGTGCCTGGATCTGAAGGTCCAATCTCATCGCCAGCGCGATCAACCCGTCCAGCATAGATGGGAAGTCATGCGGCACCAGTTCATCTTTAATATATTTTGTTAGACCATGAAGAAAAGTGTTGCATATAGCTGCAGAATTCCAATCACTCTGACGAACCTTGGTGCGAAAGTCTATGGAGAAGTCAGCCACCGTCTGGTTGCCCTGATGCATGCTTATCAGACTCCGTGCTGCGTCAGAACCAAAAGCCCCCATGCCAAAAACCTTGCGGAGCTCCCCGGAGAAGAGCTGGAAGGCGGTGCAGGCTGTAGTCTGTCTCTCCCACTCAGCGGTTCCCCAGAGACGAGCCCTTCCCATCAGGTGGTTGATAGCGAAGGCTACCTTAGCCTCCTCAGAATCAAACGTGTGGGGTTGCAGAGAGAACAACAGGGAACAGTTTGTCAGGAAGGAACCACAGGTCTCAGGGTCCCCCGCATACCTTTCTGGGGTTCCCACTCGGGGATCAGGGACGTCTCTGGGCAGTGAGGGTGCAGGAGTCGGTGGAGCTGGGGAAGGATCCGGAACAGGAGCCCGGTTCAAGGCGGTCGTTAGCTGCTGCATCTGGGCGGCTAAAGCTGTTAGCGCCTGCTAATGGACCACTATTGAACGTCTTGCTTCAGCTTGTGAGGTGACAATCATGGCTTAATGCTGCTGGAGGGCGCTCTCAATCCTCTCAAAGCGGTTCGGTGATGAGAAGATGTGTGCTGGGTCCATGACTGGCCAGATTGTACTGTAATGGTGTGTGATAGGACCCAATTGCAGCACAACCAAACAGATGAATAGTTGGTAACGACCTTTATTGATAAACCAGCAGAGAGAACACACACAGGTGGGTATTAGGAGTCGAGGAAGGGGTCCGGGGCTGGAGAGCCAGGCGTCTGGTGAGTGGAGCGAGGTGACTGAGCTCACACACACAATGGAAAGTTCGTGGACCCAAAGGCTGGGGCTGGCGGTGCCGAGCGTTAGGGAGCAGGCTGGAGATGTCGTCGAGGGAGGTGGAGGACGCCAAACACCCACAGGGACAGGCAGACGGGGACCAGGAAGCGCACGGGCAGAACTCCTCGTCGGGGACAGAAGGCTAAGGTGTTTACCGGGCAGAGATGAGGCAGGATGGTCAGGGACGAGCAGAGTTGAAAACAGGAAGTCAGTCTGGAGATAAATGCTGGAAAGTCTAGCATGACACTGAGAACAATCTGGCAAGGAGCGAGTGTACTGGGGATGTATATATATTGGCCCAATTGGAGATTGAGTGTAGCTGGGGGCAACAGGTGAAGACAGTGAGGCTGATTAGGAGGTGTGGCAAAGTGGAGAGTGAGGCATAGGCATAGAAGGCTGTGACATAAAATATAAATATTTTGATAGTCCAGTGTCACGGTATGCAGCAAGGGTGAGCATCTGGGTCTTTCACCCTCACCACTGCCTCATCGGACCCTGACAGAATGATACAATCAACACAGGACTCAGCGGAGGTACCAATGTGCAAGAATTTATTTAAACAAAAAAAACAAAATCCATACATGAGACGATGACGAAACAGACACCAAACCTAACAACCAACAATGATACCACAAAGACAAGACAGAACAAGGGCTTTTTAAAGGAACGGAACTGATTAACAATGGAGAACAGGTTGGGAAGCAGACACAGGTGGGACACATCAGGTATGATTAACAAAAGGAAACAAAACTAGAACTCAGACACTGGGGTGACATGACTATCAAAATAAAACAGGAAGTGCACGCGGAAACAGAGCACAAGACAGGGAAGACTAAACTAAACACCAGAAACACCCAAACCAGAAACACTCAAAACCCAGAACAGAAACCCAAAAACACAGAAAACCAAATCAAGAAAATCCAAAAACCAAAAACCTGGAGCCTCCAGGCTGAGACCATCACACTATTATGACAGTGTGCTCATCTATATTAGTGTTATATATCCCTGCAATAAACAGGCAGCCTCAAGATTCTGAATGGGTTGAAAACATGACTCGATCAGTGGAAAGTAAATTTAATTTCCATCTGAAACAAAAAACACAAAACACTTTAAAGCTGGACTAGGTAATCTGTTTCGGTAACACTTTTTGAGATATTTCTTAAAATTCATCCTGATAGCAATGAACAAATTGAATGCTCTGACAATTAAACAGAAAATCTGTTATCTGTGTCAGTCACATGGCTGTAAAAGCTCCAGCCAATCATTGCATTCAGGCCGAATGACCTGTTTGTCAACCTCTGACTAGCGTGCCTGCGCGTACTCTGGCTGTGCACTCACGCTTACTGCTGCATGACCGAGCTACTTCAGAGTCAGACAAGTGGCAGCCACAGGTGAAGAAGAGGAAGAAGACGCACAGGAATGGCAGAGAAAGTTCAACCAGTTCCACCTAATGCTTTGCCTTCAGCAGCAGCTTCACTCGTCAAAGGAAGGCGGTAGCAGAGAAAGCTGCTACGAAAATAAAATTGGACAGTGCAAGAGGCCGAACAAGAGTCAACACTGACGTTGCTTTACAACGATGGCAACAACTGAGGGAGCAGAGGAGCTAAAAAATGATGCGATGGTGTCTGTATTTCTATTAGACAAGTAATTATCTTGTTTGTTTTGGGAACTGATGTCATTTGTAACATATCAAACTTCAGTCTTGGGTCACAGGGCTCAGACAGCACTGCAGTAAATGACGTGACTGTTCCAAGTCCAGTTCTTGAATTCTGGCCTGTGCAGCAACACATAACAAACACAATTACATATTATTATAGAACAGAGCTTTATTGAATTTTGTATTGAAAAGAAATATTAGCTGTACTAGTAGTATAGCTCATTTAGTATTAGTAGTGTAGCTAACTTTGTTGATGTTTCTAGCTTTGCCTGATATAAAACCTTACCGCAGGTGGCTACTAGCTAGTAGGGATGGGCATGAGTACTCATTGACGTCATTATTTGAGTAGCGTTTCACTACTCACACACCTGCACACGTGTTGTTTTTGGCTACAATAGTTCAACTCTGTTTGCATTACGTGCACCATGGCAGCTGTGACCAGGAAAAGTGATAATGTTGTGATGATACCAGAGCGGAGAAGATTAGCCTACTAATAACAAAAATGGTGACTAGAGATATGCTACCATTAAGTTTTGTGGAAGGAGAAGGGTTCCGCGAGCTACTGGCGTTTGCCACCATCAAGGCAAACAACAGCTACTAGAGTGGTAAAGATGTACGAGGAGAGTACTCTTTGCAGTGTGCAACATCAGCGATGTGTGGTGAATCTGCATCTCCATGGTGCATCCAGTCACCTCCAACCTACTGTCCAGGCATCTAAAGCCACAAGATGGAGAATCAGCCAAGGTGACTGAATTCAAGACCACAGTGGCCACCTCTCTGAGAAAATGTGTGTTCCCCGACAGCACAACTAACCCTGGTAATAATTTGATCCCTTAAACACCCATAAATAACAATTCATTGTAATGTAATGCAATTACGGATCTTTAGATGTACACTGCTACGATTAAAAAGATGTAATGAATCTGATTCTGTCTCATTATTTAACTCCCCAATTCCACGTATTACTGTTGTTCAATAAATGCATTTGAAATTGCACTTGGTTTCCATTGTTGGCTATTTATTTAACTAAAAGTATTAGACAGTAATGTTCTCCGACAGCCAAACAGAAGGCTTGGTCAGGGAGGTCCGTGTCCGACTGGAAAATCAAGGTTAACATTGGTTCCACTTGTGTTTCCAGTCAGACATGGACCTCTTTTTCTTTCTTTTTTTTTTTTCTTTTTTTTTTTTTTTTTTTTACACAAAAAATATATTTATATATAATTAGCGAGTAATCGAGTACATGTTCATAAGGCAATGAGAGTACTCGAATATTGAAATTACTGAAAATGCCCATCCTTTCTAGCTAGCCAGCGATAAGTTATTGCATCTAACTGTATTTCCAACAAGAAATTACCAAACATACTAGCTTGACAGCATTGAGTACAAGTATCATTCATGTTGGTTGATTACATTCATGATGGTATCACCGATACGTTCCGCTCAGCTCTCTCTTGTCCACTCCAGCAGTGCGTGTTTGGGTGTTGTAGGGGAGTGGCCTTGGAGGGATGCCTGAAGGGAGGGGTGGGAGTTTTTCGGTTGAATACTTACAAAATTTTAGCTAACTCAGGCTAACATCTCCCAGATTACCTACTCCAGCTTTAAATTTGTGTCAAACATTTAATGTTCAGTCAGAGTTCACTTCCACTGCTGGTCTGGGATAGGTGTTGAGTAAAATTTATTTATGAGTGAGATGGACCTAAACTGGCCTCAAAGACTGTGTTTTAACATTAATCATCCATTACAGTTGTTTTTACCAATTGAGCAAATAGAATCAAAGGATTCGAGGTCCTGCAGTTCAGCAAAGACTAGAAATATGATGCGTATTTTGGACAGTTTCAGTTCATACAGTACATAGTTGAAGAGCGGCTGGCATGTGAGAAAGTATAATGATAAAAATATGCACACCATGTTGAGTAAACTCACATTAAACCTGCTCTGTAATATTTTAAAGAAATAGCCGAAGGAGAAGTTTATGAGAGAAGCCACCTGAGGTGTGCAGGTACTGACAGCTTTCTCTCTGGTCTGTTTATAACCAGGAAAACACACTTTGAGAATCTTTATATGAGAGCGTGTCTATGTTCCCACAGCCCTATGTTAAGAAATATGGGACCATAGGGTTTCCTTTTGAGAAAAATCTTAGGCCTTGTCCACATTAACCCGGGGAAATATAAATATGCACATTCACAATGAAAATGATCTCCATCCACACTAACACTTTGCATCCACGTTCCACGGCGTCTTTACATTTATCCACCTCAGCGATCGTTTTTGTAAAGCATCGTTTTCAGTTTCGGAATTCACCTTTCTAATGTGGACGGAAGGGCTAACCGGATAAATATTACCCGGGTTAGTGTGGACATGGGCTTATGGGAACATATAAGACTGTGGGAAAATAGAGCCTAATTTTCAAAACATTCTTAGAAATGTGGGAACATAGGGCTGATCCCCTTTATATAAGTGTATTGAATTAAAATTAGAGAAAAGAAGACGACAAGACAAGTGCCAAAAAGTCCATAGATGTTATTCACTCTGGTGTCAGAGCAGGCCAGTTTGATGACAGAGTAGTTGTTACAGAATAATTTGTTAGTAATGTTCCCACACAGCTTTAAAGAGGAACTCAAAGAAATTGTGACAGTAATTGTCAGCAAAGGTTAAAACTTAAATATATATATAACTTAATATTATATAACTTAAAATATTACAGCAAAAGCATGGCGACCTTGTTAAATGTCATACATGTGTTATATTGTAGAGGATAACAGATAGCGAGGTATCTGTCATAAGAGATGATGGCTATATTACTTAATGCCAGGATCTGAACCAGCAGGAATAGAAACAACCCTGTACTACCATACAGTTCATTTACAAACAGGCTGCACAGAAACAGGTACATGGGTTCATGTAAGCTTCTGTTCAGACAGATAACCACAATCAAGAAAATGCAGAGATAATTAGAGCATATAAAGATGTGAGAATCATGAGATATAAATACTTGAAATCGCTGCTGTCAAAATAGCCCTTTAATGTGAAGTATAAAATCTGAGTTGGGTTTATCATCATGTGAGAAACTAAACACACCTAATACTGCATGAATCAGCTGTCCTGCTGAACTGAAGCTCAGACTCTTTAAAACTCTTCAAGTCAGGAGATACCCTCATCATGATTACAGTATCTATACATCAATGATTTGATGATACTTCTGGTTTCTAACTAATGGAAAATCAAAATTTTGAGCCCAACCCTGATCCACATGTTCTTTTGTTCTATTGACAAAACAACTCACTTTCCCACAATTCCTCACTGTTCACACCTGGAGATGACCCTTTCCCAGGGACCTCACTGACCAGTCACATGTGACCCCCTCAGGGTGTCACCAGACAAAACCAGATCCCCCTCTTTGTTCTGCTTCTTCTCTCCTTGGCTTGCTCAAGAGCAGCAGCTCCTCTTCCTTCTCTACTCTTCATGAAGCAACAAGGCTCCCAACCCAGGACAGCCCTACTACCTGCGACAACAGCTCTCTTGCAGGATTGCCTCAGGCAGACTACAACACTCTGCAGTGACGTGAGTGGACAAGTTTACTTCAGTGGGTACGACACAAAGTCTGCCAGTTGATTTTCGGAGCAACCAAAGACACAGCAGCATTGGCGTGGAACAGCGAACTCGGTAAGAAGACAAAGAGGAAACCAGCGGCTTCCTCTGCAACACAGAGACCACACAAAGCCAGACAGGATTTCACTCCACCAGGAAGCCACCCAACTTACTGGACTTTAAAACAACACCGGAAAGTGGTGGTACTTGTATGTTCACACACATACCTGTAGTACATCTCAGTTCTAGAATGTGCATACAGCTAACCTCTCTCCTTCTGACCTGGCACCTTTTTAGACTACATGAGCTAGGCTAACAAAGACACTCATCTTCCTTCTCATCCAGCCACTGAGACTTGGGTGGTCTCAGCGGCCATTTTGAGCAATTTTTTTGTCTACCGCCATCTCGTGTAGTCTTCTTTTCCAGGTCATGTGGTCACAGTGAACATTTTGAATCGGCCATCTTGCCTTTGTTTTTGTATGTTTTACTTTGTTACATTGTAAATAAATGTCTTTAATTATAACTACTGGTGTGTTTATAACAAGTTTGAGTATTGCCAACCTCTACTCAGTAGAACTTCGATCCTTCAACTTTTCCTTACTGTTAATTTTAGATATAGTTATAAAGTAAATCATTTATTGGAGTTCCAGATTAATAGTAATAATTTGAGAATCAATATTGGCTATTCTTGCCTTTTTATGCTGGTGCCCCTGAGGACTTTAATTCATTTTATGATCTAATATTAATGTTAATATTGATATCCTACTAATTTATAATAGCCAATAAATTGATAAACAACGGAAGGCCCAACAAGGAGAAGGCTGATGATGATTGTGCGTCCTACAGGCCTACAGTATAAGACGGTGAATACAGATCTTAAACTGCTTACCAAGACCCTGGCTCTGCGCTTAGAAACAGTCCTGCCTTCTATTATCAATAATGATCAAACAGGATTTATTACTGCCAGATATTCATGCAGTGATATAAGGCTCTGCAATGTTATTCAGCTTTGCCAATCTGGCAAAGTAAACTGTATAGTTATCAGCCTGGACGCAGAGAAAGCTTTTGATCGGGTTGAATGGCCCTATGTCTTTCCCACTCTGGAGATACTCATTAGCTAGCATTCATTAGCCCAGTGAAGTTACTATATAATAACCTGTTATCAGCTGTGTGAACTAACAGCAAGAGATCGCCTTATTTCCAACTGGGCCAGGGGACAAGACAGCGGTGTTCTCTGTCCCCATTATTATTTGCAATCACTATCGTGCCTTTGGTGGAAGCCATTAGACATGTTCCTTCAATTTCAGGTATCTCAGTTGGTAGTAAAATTCACAAAAGTACCCTGTATGCTGATGACGTGCTTTTGTTTCTTACTAACCCAGAAGTCTCAATACCAGGAGTTTTGGATCTGATTGGTTGCTTCAGTCAATTCTCAGGCTACAAAATAATTTGTTCTAAGTCAGAAGCTCTTCCTTTGGGTGGTCTTCATGATACCCACTCCCCCTTATCTTGCCCATTCAGATGGACACTGCAGGGCTTTACATACTTGGGAATAGTGATAACACCATTGCTTCATCAGTTATATGGAGCTAACTTCACACTTCATGCTGAACATATACAGGAGGACCTTGAAAGATGGACTTCCTTACTGCTATCTATGTTAGGAAGGATCTCATTACTTAAGATGAATATGTTGCTGAAACTTCTATATGTATCTCAGATGCTCCCAATCTTACTTCCAAGAAAAGTAATTAAAGAAATAAACAGTCAATTTAGTATGTTTATTTGGAATAGAAAAAAACCTTGTATGAGTATGGCTTATGAAGCCTAAGGAAAGAGTTGGCATATCAGTTCCAGATGTTAGGCTTTACCAGTTGGCTTCACAGCTATGCTACATTGCTGATTGGATTAAAAATTACAGTGAGTCTACATGGCTTGATTTAGAATCTTCTGAAGTTAATCAGTCAAAGTGTTCTCCTACTTTCTTCTAAACAAAAAAAGATTAAAACCTTTGTTGGTAACAATATAATTATAAACACAACTATTAAAGCCTGGCAGGATATAAGAAAATTGGAAGGACTATAGGGACAATTGTCATCCCTTTCACCAGTATGGGGCAACATAGATTTCTCTCCTGGTATCACAGATAGGGGCTTTGAGCTGTGGGATAGTAAAGACATTTGTATTGTTGGGCATAGATATGAAAAGGATGTACTATTTTCATTTGATCAAATATGTAGGAAGTATTGCATATCACAAAATGAGTTTTTTAGATATCTCCAGGTACAAAGTTTTTTTAAATAGCCGAAAACACACTGGGCTTTGTTATCAGCCTTCTCCAGTGAGGAACCTGAAAATAATCTCAACTAGTTGAGGAGGTTCAGTGACACCAGCTGGATAGGCAGTACTTTGTTTTATGTCTAGATACAGCATTGTCCCTGCAATAGATAGATAATAGACAAGCACCCTTTCTAGTTTGTGCAGGCTTCTGCTGAAAAGTAAATCCTGCAAGGTTGGATGGTGGGTCCAGGTGAGTGGGGCTTGGAGCATGACTGAGAGTAGTGACTGCTTTGTTGTGCCATCATAAAGTTGCAGAAGTCCTGACGGCTGGTTTTAAGGCTCAGTTTCTGAATATAGGCTGTGTGCATTTCTCTGTGGACCGAGCATTTTTATACTTTCACAGTATTAATATAGAGCTTAAACCTGCTTTATGATCAAACAACACATGCACATCTACCTTTATACTATATGGACCTTTAACACCAGTTTATGGGCTCATGACGTTTAGTGTTGTCATTGTGACAGTATGAAGAGGTGACATTTGAAACAAATCAAGCAGTCAACATGTCCTACTGACTCCTGACTGAGCTCACTTCATGTTGTCCATGTTTTCAGATTTATTGCTGGGTCTTTTTTTTTAGATCATCACATCATTAACAGTGAGACAACTGCATGTTTTCAGTAATTTCTGTGACATCAAACATTTTAAAACTAGATCATGTTAAATATCACACTTACACAGTATCACTGCAACCAGTCAACATTTTATAACAGAGAACATGTTTACATGTTTGTCTGATTTTGGACATCTGAAGTCCGTACACTACAGGAGTCAGAAGTGGCTGTATTATGAGAAAGTACAGAGAAAGGATGATGCGCAGCACACTGGGAACACTGGTCATATCAAATCTGCTCTGAAGTATCTCAAAGCAGCAGCCAAAAGAAAAATTGAGCAGAGACACAAGGTGAGGTGTGCAGGTACTGACAGCTTTCTGTCTGGTCTGTTTAGAACCAGAAAAACACACTTTGAGAATCTTCATGTAAGAGAAAAGGATTGGAAGCAGAGGAACTACAATGGTGAGAACAACACCAAACAGTCCATAGATGTTATTCACTTTAGTATCAGAACAGGCCAACTTCACTACAAGGTAGTTATGACAATACAAACTGTTGATGGTGTTTTCACAAAGAGGCAAACGGATGTTTAAGGATAAAGTGATTAAGAATTTCACAAAAGAGTACAACCATATTGCAGAGATAAAGAGAACTGCTTTGTTAGATGTCATACGTGTGTTATATTGTAGAGGATAACAGATAGCGAGGTATCTGTCATAAGACATGACGGCTAAATTACAAAACTCTACATGTGCATATGTGTATAAAGAGAAAATCTGCAGGAAACAAAAAGGCACAGAAACAGTGTGAATGTCAGAGAGGATCTGAACCAGCAGGAATGGAAACAACCCTGTACTACCATACAGTTCATTTACAAACAGGCAGCACAGGAACAGGTACATGGGTTCATGTAAGCTTCTGTTCAGACAGATGACCACAATCAGAGAGGAGTTGGCAATAATAATTACAAAGTAAAGCAAAGCAGTTATCATGAAATACAAGTATTTCATAGTTCCTACATGTATATATGTACTAAGAATGAAATAAGATAAAGTTGAATTCATCATCATTCTTGTTTTATGTGACAAAACAACAACAGTTTGCAAATTGTAAAAAAGTTTGCTGCTCATTTTTTAACCCAAACTGAACAATTAGTTTCAATTGAGGACATTATTCTGAATAACACAGACATTATTTTCACTCACAACACTGCTTCACTGGCTGTTAAAAAAAAAGCACAAACATTACACAGAGCTAAACATCTGTCGCTGCTGCAGTAGCTGACTTGAAGCTGACATGAAACCTGCTGCTTTATATCTCTCAACAGAGCAGTCCCATATCATTCATGTGTACCAGGGGACACCACAGATCTCCGTCTAACTTTCCAAAGTCCAGAAAATCAATGCCCTGCTGTTCAAGTGAACAGAAGAAAAATTATAAAGGGAAAATTATTTCTGAGAATTATTTGATTCGAAATGAAGTGGCAGTATAAACGGAAGTTAAAAAGTGAACAAGGAAATACAATTCTGAAGTGATAAGTACTGTAAACTCTATTGTACAGTGCGAGTTCCAACACTGGTTAGACTGAGTTTCATCAGTTTGACCAGTGATAAGAGCAGAATAATGAACACTAATATTAGTGACACAGTACTGTTAAAGCTTGTAATAAAACAGCAGTAGAATTAGTAACATTGCTAATCATGCAAGTTGTATTAATATTGTTTATATTATGAACAGCAGTAGTATTTGTATCAGTGGTGGTCACTCAGCTATTACTGTTAGCATGAGTATTAGCAGTAGTAGCAGTCACACAAGCACTAATGTTAGCGTTAGCAGACGCAGTGTAAGGACTAGTTACTATTGGCACTACACTGGAAAAAACGCCACTCCAAAAATGAGCAAAACAAAATTAATATAAGATATTTTTTGCTTGTAATAAGCAAAAAAATCTGCCAATGGAACAAGTGAAAATTCTCTTGGTAAGATTTCTTGAAATAAGACATTATATTTAATCCTTACAGGATAAGAGTGATCTTGAAATTAGCTGGGAAAACTCACTTTTAGCTATATTTTACTAGTATTCTGATGTTTTGTGTCTAATAATAAGCTTGTGATGTGCAAAAATAGTATTTTCCCCTCAAAAGTTTTTGCCATCCTGTTTGTTTCAAGTGTATTTAACTAATTTGTAATTCTATAATTGTGACACTGTTCTAGATTTAAGTCCAACACCTACTTGAAATAAGATGAGACAAAATGTCTTGAAGTTAGCATTTCTGACTCGTATTAGGCAGTGCTCTTTTGCCATAATAAGCCATAATTTACCATCCTGTCATCATCTCAAGTGCGTTTACCTTATTGTAAACCCTACAAAAGTAATACTGTCCTAGAGTCAAGACATTCAACCTACTAGATTCAAGACATTAACTACTTCTTATAAGACAGAAAAAATGAAAACTAGCATTTTGCATTTAACCAACTTTTCTTTTTTTTTTTCTTTTTTTTTTTTAATTTAAAGTCCCAGAGGACTTCATAAAAGGAAAAAAGCTTCATTTTGGCTCACAGTATGAAAACATAGCAGAACATGCCAAATATGTGAGTGAGTTAAGGTCAGGTCTAAACACCTGACCAATGTGCCCTTCAATACACATACAAAATCAAAATTAAAATTAGTGACTGCATCTGCAGAACAGACAGTTTAATTATTAATATTAACTGAAAAGTGAAAAATGAACATGGACTGTAGTACCCTTGGAAGGAGAGAGGAAATGCTATCCTACACCATATCTGACCACTGGTTTTATTGGCCAATAAAAGCTTTCCACTCAGCCATGCTCTTCTTGTAAGACGATGTGAGATCTTTCTCATGGATTTTGTCTAAGAGGACCTCCGTCTGTATGACTGAAAGCAGAGTGGCTACACACTTTGGATAAGTCAGGTGTAGGGCATAATAGTAGGCCATAAGGTATAAAGCACTCTCGGTAAGGTTGTCTTTTGGAAAGGTGGTTATTGGCACATCTCCTACTGCTAGGAGGCAGTTGGACAGACTGACAATCAGGACTGGGCAGGAGAGAGGGCGTTTCTTCAAGTAGGAATTGGGGTCTTCTTTTTCCTGTAACACAACACAGACATCTTTCTGTCAGGATAATGCATTTTGGTCATTTGGAACCTAGAGTAAAGGGTTGTTTAAAAAAACACATAACTTTACAAAGCAAAATTCTGACAAAAGTTATAGTACTGAGAAAGCTCCATCTGAAAGTGCTGTTTTTAACTATCCCCAATGCATTTACTGTTCACATATGTCTTGCCTTTCAAAAGAACTAAAACCCAAGGGTAGGCTAGTCTTACTTGATCATTAGGGTGATAAAACCTGCTACCATGTAATGCACCCATTTTTGTACATACTGTGACATAGCCAAGACATCTACCCAGTGAAAATCCTCTTTCTAAAAACAAATGTTTTAGGTGTCTTTGAAGGCTTGGAACATACAGTATGTGAATAGGAAATACATTGGGAGTCATCAGAGGCAGCACCTTCAGTTATAATTTTTTATGATACTGCAGTCAAAATGATCCTGCAACATTTTACACAGCTTACCTCAAGGACATGCACCAGAGCCTCACTTGCATCTCGTACCCTCTTTGGAGGAGCAGATGTGGAGGGGAACAGTGATGGCAGCACACGTAGGATCTCAAGAGCCTGTTCAGCTCTACAGGAAAAGATTCATTACTTAAACACTTGGACAAAGTGCACAAGGTCAAATCTGATCAAAAGGTATACAACAGACACAATGCTTAAAAAAAACAAACATTCAGCAAATAATGGGATAGCCATCATAGATGAAAAAGAAGGATGACAAAACACTAGCTCATGTACTTGAAGGTCCACCCTAAACCCTGATCACTAATAACACCAAAATATCATTCCCTACCTTTATCCATTCCCATTGGGGGTTTCAGCGTGTTTTTCCATACACCAAAAAACTGCACCTTCTGGAAGAAGTCATGCCATCTTCCCTTCAGTTCATCAATGAAGTTGGTATTATCCTTATCCAAAATGCGTTGAAGCTCCTCCATCACCTATGAAATATCAAATACACCAATACAGACATTTAAATATATCATTTAAAAGGAAATTGGTATTTTAAACATTGTGTGTGATACCATGGTTTTAATAATGCACAGTCAATAATGACTTACATGTCCAAGGTCCTTGAAACAAGGATATGCTTCTAGAACCTTCTCGTGTCTGTCCTCCTTGCAAATGGTATTTGAATCAATGAATGCTCTTCTGGCTACAAATTCCTAATCCAAGAGATGAGACATCCTGGTGGTTTGGATTTTTTCTTTTATACAACGTTTGTAGGGTCTTGTAGTGCTTGGCCAAGGTTGCTGGACTGTAGGTGTCTGGACTGTCAACATCTGCAGACTCAGCTGTAAGACACAAAAATACATAATTAATATGCCTCAGTTTAAAAAAAGTTCATCTCATGTTGTTGCATGACAAAAAATAGGTAAAAAAAAACACTATAAAAATCATACATTGTCACAACTGTAAGGGTTTGTCAGGGTTTGAGGGGTAAGGGCTGGACCCAAATGCAGCCAACACATGGGAGACGGTGCAGACAGGTTTATTAAACTAACACACGCACAGGGAACCACAGGGGATGACAACAGGTAACACGAACGGACTGAAGACAAACCAGACTTGAACAACTTGAGGAAGATCCAGAAATCAACAGACGTGAACAGGCTAAGGACAAACCCAGAGACAAAAATAACAACAGTGACAAACTGACCCAGACAAAGGGGAGCACAAAGACTACAAAGACAAGGGAGGCAAGGGAGATTGAACACAGGTGAAACACATTAGGGCGGGGCAGACAATCACCACACAGACACAGGACCAAGACAGGAAGCAAAAACACTGACACACAAGGAAACCAATTACAAAATAAAACAGGAAGTGCAAAAAGTCCAAACAAAACAAAAAAAAGGTGTCTGCCATAGCAAACCATGACAACATTAATATTAGATTAAACTTTCATGGAATTAAATCTTTTAACAAATATCAGCCCTGATCCTAACTACCAAATACCTATTCATTTTTGGAATTTTAACCATTTAAATGCCATTTTAAACTATTTGCTCGAAACTGATATGGTCATGCAATCACACACAATTGCATGTAGGCACACAAGTACACCCCTACAAAGATGCGCACGCGCCCACTACACACAGTCATGAGGCAGTTGGACAAACTCACCATCAGGACTGGACAGGGCAGAGGGTGCTTCTTCAGGTAGGCTTTGGGATCTTCTTTTTCCTTCAACACATAACACAGACATTTCTGATAGGATAATGTACTTTAAGGATCATTTCGGTATTTTGGAACCCAAGCCAAAATTACATTCAATTAAAAAGAGCAAAAATGCTGCTAATGAGACACATGGGTTTTAAATAAATAACATTATTTGATATGCTGGAGAGGTTATAGAAAGTAATGTTGCACAGTAGACTGATACTAAAAGGTACTGCTGTACCCAGCTGTTCAAATGATACAATACCAGCTTTTTATTAATACCAGATTTCTGTTAAAACTTAATTTCTACAATAATGTTAATAAATAGATAATAAAACAGTGCAAATGTAGTGTAAATACCTATCCTCTGATGTCCATTTTAAAGCCTTTTACTTCTGTCATGTCAGGACTGTCATCTTGACCAATAAAGTGGGTTTATTAGTTTATCTAAAATATAAACACCTCACAACGGCAAATATGTAAATGCAAAGTTGAACCTCACCTTCTAACTCACTTTCTTTACTGCCTGAGCTACGGCTGCCACTTCCTTCTGTGGACCAATCCAGAATGATTGTTGAGCCACTTGAATCGATTTCATCTGTGTCTGTTGGCTGCTCAAGACAGTGCCTCTTTGTAGAGCTGCAAAGATCATTTAATCTTGAAAATGATTAACAGATGAATCTTTGATGAAAATAATCATTAGTTACAGCCTCACCTCTTTGAATGTCTCCCATCTGGAGTTCTTTTTTGGGGGAATCTCACATTTTGCAATCTTTTGTATAGCTGTTGGTACACAGTGACCTGCACAAGACATTTAATCAATTTTTCAAATCGCTACTAAAAATGTCCAACATGAAACACAGTCATCAACTGGATGCATTTCACTTACCCATGTATGGAGGCCTTGGTCCTGCAGCATGAGGTAGTACAGTACTATTCTCTTTGCCACTGCTGTAATTTCTGGCTTTGATGGGTATCTGTGTGATTCTCCATCCCCCTTTGCCCTCAGGATTGCAATCATACTGGTCATGGTGTTTCGAATGAGCCGGCATCTGAGCTCCTTTGACATCTGGCAGTTGCCTTGTTCGCCTCTCTTCGACAACTCAAAGTACTGTTGTCGGACTTGCTCAAGTTCTGTGTCGGTGTGCAATACATATTCCGGAAAGGATAACTTTACAACCTTTTCAGGGGTTGTGTACTTTGCAGGACTTGCGTTCACAGAAGTGGATGTCTGTTGCATGGGTGACGCATTAAAGGAGGAACTGCCCGATAATTTTGAGTGTTCTTGGCCAGACTCCTGTAAAATAAAAGATAATGAACTACTGCAAAAAGCAACATTTTTGTTTTTTGTGACAACACAAAATGCAATGTAGCATTGACAGCTCTGCACATGTACAAATAAGCAATGTTCAATTTTAGGGGTGAAATCGCTTACATCAAACTGAACACCTATCAATTAATCTCAACTGAATTGAACATACATGTAGACTACCATGCCTGTTCCAAAAACACTGTGCTGTTAGCTCAATGTGCTGCTGCCAACTTAAATAGGTGGTTAGTTTAGGCCACTTAACTGAGAAACTGACCTCCTCCGACACACCATGACAGGCCCGCCAGACCGCTTTTCTCCGTAAAAAGTTCTCTGGGCCTGGGAAAAGATCCCACAAGTCTTCACGAGACAGGGTGCTCATCATTGTCTCTGTGATGTTTGCAGCTATGAAAACATTGGAAGACAAACATAGCAAGATGAAACAGTGCCCTAGAAATGAAACTGCATGAAACTATTAGAAGTTGACACTAGCTAGTTTAGCTAGTTAGCTAGTGCTAACCGGCTTGGTATAGAAATGTAGATACCTCATTGGCTGCTGTTGTGTCATATAGGTGTCAGTATAACTAGAGCTGCCACCAACTAAGAATTTTCCTGGTTAACAACAATTGTCATTTGTCACCATTAGTTGACTAGTCTCCACAGTTTATGAATTTAACAGGAACAAAATGGTGGGAGTAACGGGAGGCAAAATTCACTTTGCTTAGCGGGTCACATGTGGGGCAGCGCCAGGAAGCAATTAGTTTCTTTTTTTAGCTTCAATTAAGTATAAACTAATTTCATTTACACATCTCTGCAATTATACATACATATATGATAAAGAATAATATTTGCATACATTACCCCTTAAAATGGACACTGCGACATCATCCAATTCTTCCATGCTCATAGCTGACCTAGCTAGCTAGTTAGCTCCACTAATGTTAGTTCGCCTCACTGTCTCTGTTTGGCTGCAACGATACACAATAAACACTGAAAACACATTGAAACGTCGATAACATTGAAATTATTATTATCATTTAAATTATTATTATTACATTCAAAGGGTGTGCAATGTGAACTACAAAGAATGAGCACTCGATGCAGCACTTACTTGAAACACGTCAATCCAAGTTCAAATCAGTGGTGGGCGGATCGATCCAAATATCGATAGTATCGATACCAAGTCAGTATCGGTATCGGATCGATACTAGCCTGGTGAGATCGATTCTTTACTTTAAGTTCTGCTCTTGTTTGCAATGCTGCGGTTTCGGCAAAGAGGAAACAGCCAGGTCGCCAGACCACACTTTGCCCCCCCCCCTTGTGTTTAGATGTTGCGCCATCACGTGACGTGACTTAGACGCGCAAAGCAAACAATCAAGCAAGTTGCCGGCTCAGGTTCATCAGCACTCGCACAGAGAAAATACAACAGAAGAATGGCAGAGAGGAAGAGGAGCGCCGTGTGGCTGTATTTTCAAGCCGAAAACGAGACAACAGCAAAATGTGGGATTTGTAAAAAGCTAGTCAGGTATAGTGGAAACACTACCAATTTATATAAACATATAAAAAACCATCCAAAAGAAAACATTATTTATTTATTTAAGATTTTTCTGAAAAAAAATTGATAATAGAGCATTTTCTATTTAATTATAAACTTTGTCCTAATTCTGTCCTGGGTTTTAACTATTTAATAATAAAAAAGGAAACATCACAAAAAACAAAAATTAATTGAGGTTTAGCAATTCAATGACACATCCACCTTATTTATTGAAAAGTATCAGTATCGGTATCGGCGATACTGGCCCGTATTTGATTGGTATCGGATCGATACCAAAATATGCAGTATCGCACACCACTAGTTCAAATCCAAGTCGGTCCCATATAACGGTAGTTTAAGCCAGAGGACTTTGTTTACGCCCACATTCTCATTTGCTGCAGCTAGCTAGTGGGTGTAACCATAGTAACGAGTTTTTACGGCAGTATTGCTTTACCTACTAGGGATGGGCGTTACCACACTTTTAGGATTCGATGATACTTTTTCTTGCATTTTCATCGATACAGATACTGATAATTTCTTATTGGCAATTCTTTTCATTCAAAATATTATAACATTTAAGACAAATCACATGACAAATACAGGATCGATACGCCCATCCCTATTACCTACCTGTGACCAATTTACCGCCCTCCTGCCTGTGACATCTTTGCTTCCAACATGATTTCGCGTTGCTTCATATGCTACATATTTGTAGCATTGACTCTGAAACAACTTTTGAGTCACATTAACACCATGCACAGTTGCAGCCCTGACTTTCGCATCGTGTGCGGGATTGATGGCTGTCCAAGTGAGTACAGGGTGTATAACTCCTTTTACTATCACATGAAGCGGACACACGTGCATCATCTTCTCCAAGTTGAAGCGGCGGAGGAGGAAGGACCGACTCGCCACGGTTTACCTGGAGCAGGTGAAAGGACAGCCGCAAACGACCAAACTAATGCAAGCCCTGTGTCTGAAGCGGAGGGCTCAAGCATCGTCATTCCAGCGGTAAGTCTTTACACTACGCAAATACAACTAGCCTACTGAGATTTAAATCGGCTAGTTAATGGTTACATTTATGTTGACAAACGCAGCCTACCGCCCCACAGATTGTCCAATTTATGATCTAATGTCACCTGACATTACATTACAGCGAACATCAATTAACCTGTATTTGATTGCAAACATGAGACTCAGTCGTGATAAACTCACCTGGGTTGAAAAGTGTAGTGGAGTGCATATAGATATACTGGACTGTAGCTTTGTGTCTCTGCCTCCTCCTGCTGCTGCAGCAGTCCAGTCTGACAGTTTTTTACTCATCCATCCGCTGGTAAATACATTCAAACTAAGTACCAAGTCCCGTTAGTTAAAAATAGTAATCCAGTGTTGAAATACGTGTTGAAATCAGCAGTGTGAAAGCTAGTTAGCTGACAGAAGGAGGTTTACATATGATGTGTTCACGGTGAGCTCAGTAAAATGACTATTGGGCAAAGTTAAATAAAATGTCATCATGATGTGTTCAAATGTGTAACGTCAAGAAAAAGAAATTATTAATTTATTGGCAAGAGAGCAAGTGAAGGGATACAATTTAGTATGTGTACGGTTTTATTTAACTAACTACATTAATATAATAACTCCCACCGTAAAGGGTGTTTTGAACTGAAGAAACAGTGTCACACTCAAGCTCGGACATCCGTTTACCGTCTTCCACGTGTTTATTTTCGCATAAGCATTCCAGTATCACATATGCTATGCTAACTAGCACCTAAACAGTAACTGTGCCGTTCGCCAGGTAATCAACTGAAATGACACAAAATAAAACCAAAACCACAATATTAATGACACGGACATATTATCTACTGTAATCCGCATACATGAACATATAGTATTCAACATAAATTGTAATCACATTGTATACATCTCTTAACTCACCAGCTCAGCTTCACCAGTCAAAACAATGGCATCCATATAAAAGAAGATCTGGCAGGTTAATAGGCTACACGCACCCCAAATAACTTATAGGGGGATTACTACCACAAGAGGTCGCTATGAAATTACAGAATGTGGGATAACTTAACAGTATGTGTGTCAATCTTAACACTCATTAAGTACAGATTTTTTCTGATGCTGTCAATGTCATTGTTTTTTTGTAGTACTGTTTTGTTTTGTTTTTATTAGTTGTTGTTTTTGTTGTTATTTTATATACTCAAAATAAAGACACCAACCAGTAAAAATATACCCATCTTGTACCTTTTTATTGGAAGAAATCTAGCTAGCTAGCTTACTCAGGTAGTTATTGTCAGATTGTCTGGTGGTGCTACCTACAAATGCCAATATTTTCCCTGTTTTAGTAGATATGTTTGCTGTTAACCTCTTTCAGAGTGGATTTCAAGAAGATGGAGAGGGTTGCATGAATGTTGACCTTTCTAAACATGCAACTGCATTTCTTCTTCAAGCCAGAGAAACCCATCGATTGACACAGGTAATTTATGCCATTGATTTTCCAATTAATTGTATTTTAGTAGCAAGCTTAAAAGCAATAAGCTTAAACTGTAGAATGACTTAGCCACTGTTCACACCTGGCATCTTGGTTGATCCGATCACAGGTGGACAGCTAAAGGTATGTCAGAGAAACACCTGACATTAGAATGTGTCTCCACATGCTTCTTCAGTGACCACTTGTGATCGGATCGCACTTCCCCGCTATATATGCAAATGGACACATACTTTGCTTACAAAATCTGCCCATCCACTCTATTTGTTGAGCATGACCTAAGAATAGAGACAACATAATACAACCAACACTTACACTTTTATTTAGCACTGTCCACTTGTGATCCTATTGCTCAAAACACATTTTAAGACCTAGTGTAAACAAAGTCTTAGAGCTGCAGAAAGCAATATTATTTCATGATAGTTTTGCTGGAAATAGCCTATTTTGATCATTGCATGTCACTAACAATATGTAATTGAAGGGTTACTTTAAAAAAAAAAAAAGTGTCTGAGTTTGCATGTTGACTGCATTTTTATATGAATTTTCTAATGTAGTATTTTTTTTTGTTTGTTTGTTTTCTACTCCCCAGAGAGCTGTTAACCAAATGGTGAGTGGAGTCCAGCAATATCAGGCCGCATTATTGGAGCACCTAAAACAGCAAATGAGCGACATGATTGAGAGACATTCTGGGGACCTGGATCAACTAAAGAGTAATGCAATGGGGATATTTGACCAGTTTGACCCTTTCAGTCAAATTGCTTCCACCCATTTGCAGGATAAGACCATCAAAGAACTAT